TTATGGAGCTAAGACTGAATGCCTTTCAGCATAGATGGCCACCACAAAATTGTACATTGGCTCCCTCCCGGCCAGCCTGGGCCAGGGCCAAGGCAGCGGGGGCCGTTCCCTCACTGTTTCCAGGATGGCTTCGCGGGCCACATGAAACCACTTCATGGGCCGCATCCGGCCCCCAGGCCTTGTGTTTGACATGTCTGCCCTACACCATTCCAGATAAACAGCTGTCCACTCTCTTCTTAAAAACCTCCAGTGATGGAGCACCCACATCTTCTGGAGGCAAGTTGTTCCACTGATTAATTGTTCTAACTGTCAGGAAATTTCTCCTATGTTCTAGGTTGTATCTCTGATAGGTTTCCATCTGTTGCTTCTTTTCTTGCCCTCCAGTGCTTTGGAGAAAAGGTTGTCCCCCTTTTCTTTGCGACAGCCTCTCAAACATTGGAAGGCTGCTATCAAGAGAGAAATCTCCTTCTCTGGTTGATGGACCGTAGGCCCAATCAAAATACAAGCTTACAAGCTAAATCATTCCTGCAGGTGATCAGCCCATTTACCTGCTTTAAAGAGAGCTCTGATATCTGTTGCCACTGCCCTCTCTTTTGGCTGAACCAGACCACTTTGCCCATGTGTTGATAACGCGGGGCTCCCACTACGAAGCTTGTCCGCCCATTGACTTGAACTTCCTGAATTGAATAACCTGGTGAGGACACAAGGATGATCAAGGAAGAGGATGAAACAAAGGCACACAGCTTATTTACAGTTTTATAAAAGGTATTCTCAACTAGCCAGGATAATGCAGATGCTTCTGGGGTATGCGTAGCCCAAGATCAAAATTAGCCACAAGCAACTGTCCCTGGCAGTAAGAACAGTTCCTAGATCTTCCTTTCTTATATCCTCAAACTACATTTTTAAATAATCTCTTTATGATTTAAATCTCTTTATTATTTCAGTTTCAACACCGTGCATTGTAATACAAATTAACATGAAAAGGAATTACAAACGAATAAAGGGGCAAAAGAAATGCATCAAACACATATAATAAAAAGCGACCCCTGACTTAATTTTAGTACAGAATATTAACAATACAATCACCTCATAGACAGGGGTAGGCAACCTCGGCTCTTTTATGACTCGTGGACTTCAACTCCCAGAATTCCTGAGCCAGCATGGCTCAGCATGGAAACCTCTCCCTCTCTCCTCAACATGGCTGGCTCAGGAATTCTGGGAGTTGAAGTCCACGAGTCATAAAAGAGCTGAGGTTGCCTACCCCTGTCTATGAGGTTGCATTTTACTCTTACCAAGATAAGCAGTTTTCAAATCATTTGTGGAGGAGGTGGAGATGTTGATAAAAGTCACATCACCCTGCCTGTTGAAAAGGAAGAGTCCTCCAGCCCAGTCATAGGTTCCGACTGCCCCCAGTATGGAGCCATCCTAAACCAGCAAAAGAACCAGCAAAGCAGAGAAGATGTTAATCAACCGAAAGAAAATAAATCCTTCTGATGGAAATTGTCGTCTTCCTCCTTTCGTAGGGCATTAATATATTCTGATTTTTCTTTTCTACAACCCACCTGTAATAACCTGTAATGAAAGAATGCAGAGAAGAGCAACAAAGATGATTAGAGACTGGAGGCTAAAACATATAAGGAACGGCTGCTGGAATTGGGTATGTCTAGTTTAATGAAGAGAAGGACGAGGGGTGAAATGATAGCAGTGTTCCAATATCTCAGGGGCTGCCCCAAAGAAGAGGGAGTCAAGCTATTCTGCAAAGCGCCTGAAGGCAGGACAAGAAGCAACGGGTGGAAACTAATCAAGGAGAGAAGCAACCTAGAACTAAGGAGAAACTTCCTGACTGTTAGAACAATTAATCAGTGGAATGATTTGCCTCCAGAAGTTGTGAATGCTCCAACACGGGAAGTTTTTAAGAAGAGATTGGACAACATTTGTCTGAAATGGTATAGGGTTTCCTGCCTGAGCAGGGGGTTGGACTAGAAGACTTCCAAGTTTCCTTCCAACTATTCTATTTCTATTTCTATTTCTATTCTAATCATGTTTGGGACAAATCAAACATCCTTTACTCTGAATTAGTCAAACCAATGTACCTCTGTAGAAATCAGGAATCCAAAGAAGTCTAATTCTGCACACTTTCCTTTCAGACATTGCAGTCCACAAAAACTAAGGCCTCTACCTATGATTTGTCCAAGGAAGCCCACTGATCTTCATTTCCACAGGCATTTAATTCTGAATGATTTTCCTCTCTATTTTAAGTCTGACCTGCTACTTAACAACATCTAATTTGCATTGGGTGACCTGAGATGAGGGTGACTCACCTGGGTGTGTAAGGCACTGAATCCTTCCTGAGACAACTCTAACTCGAAGGACTGAGAGCTGTTGCCAGTGCTCCGGGACTGAGTACCTGCAGAAGGAAGTGGGAAAGGAAGACAAATGAGCATCCCTGAGATGCTTCTACTGGATCAGAGGGTGGACCAGGCTTGGATAGGGGTCCTCGTGGAGCAGAAGAGGGCATCAAGTTGACTGAAAGAAATATCGAACAAGTCTTGGTATCTCTTGGTGCAACCTGAAGACTTTGGGGAGGTAACGCTGTTGGAGCAATGGCAGGCCAAGCAGATGGATTATCTGTCAACTTAGGTCTGTTCCATCGATTTCAATGGAGGTTTACTCAAAATATAGATAAATCTGGAAACAGGTCATATTTCCAACCAGCAACATCAAAG